GGGACGCAACCAGTTGGCGCGTTACCGAATTGGCACAGTAGGCGTACCTTTGAAATCAAAGGGCCTCCAAAACGCCAAAACTTATTTGTCTTATTTTCACACGACCGAAATCGAAAATATCCGCACGATGTAAAAATCGAATATGTAAATCCCCCAAATATATATTTTGCTATGAATAACAGATACATTCTTTTATGAACACAACTGTGTAAATATAAAACAAAGTATTGTTGCCTTTTGTAAATGCGTTCACTTGATATGTGAAAAAGATTCTTTCAGTGGTGTTAGAATTCAACCTTGGTGGTTTTGTTTATTATAAGACCGGGACAAATTCCTTTGCATTTGTTTATTTGAAGAAGAGGATCGATGATTACGATTGCAAAGGGAAAGATTATTATGTGTTTATTTATATAAGGATTTGAGTGTACCGAATCGGAGTCAAGGTGGAAGTTCTTTTATGCTTATGTATATGTTTATACAGTAAGGGGACAAAGAGACGCTGTGGATGTCTCTAGTTAATACACTATATTAACAATAATAATTGTAATAATAATAGTTGGACACAACACAATGATGGATCGATTTAATGTGTATCCATTTGTACATTTAGTAGTGTCAAGCATTGTAAATATGTGAATTAAAAAACCTTATTACAAGTAAAGCAGCATTGAATTTTATTTTTTATAGTAAATTACAGATATAACAATACTAAACAAACTTGTCTAAATTATATTATTATAAAATTATTTCATGCAATTTTTAATGGGAATGGTGGAACTGGGTTTGTTCCTGGAGAGTTTCTTCAAAGTTGGGATTCAAATCGGAAACACCAATAATTAGCAATGATTGCAAATGATCATCCGATAAATTTGCCCTATATTTAGATTTCAGATACTTCATCCTGGAAAAAGTTTGTTCGCACATATAGGTAGTGCCATACATAGAAATAAATTTACCAGCCAATTGCTTTAAATTTGGAAACTATTTTGCGTCCAAAAATTTGTAAATATCGATCAAGTTTCCTTCCTTGTATTTGTTCTTGATTTGATCGCTAGCTTGAAGTTCAATTATTTCCATTTGAAACTGACTTGAAACGTCGCCAACGTTGCAGTCATTTGGATTTTGAAACAGCCGAATTTCCCTTGAAATTATGTCAAGATCAGAAAAACGCTTTTGAAATTCTAGTTTTAAATCCGCGATTACTTTTACAGCAAATATGGTGGGAAATCTTTCGTCAGTTTCTGTACTAAATTTTTCACAGCACGTGAAATGAGAAAAATTACATTCATTCATATGACTTTCGAGCAATATCAGCTTGGCTCTGAATGCTTTTTTGAGCGTGATACCGTGCAAATTAGTCAAAGTAGATGCTTGCTTTAATTATATTTGAACAAAGATGAGAAACCAAAGATGGTAAATATATTCAAAGTCTAGAGATAAAATATATTATTCTGCTTGTAAATTATTTTCTACGGGTCTATATCGCAAGCCCGACAACCGAAAGACCGTCTATTGAAATCTCGACTGTATCGAAATCCCGACGTTCGAAATCCGGACAATATCAAAATCTCGACAACCATAATCCCGACTGTATCGAAATCCCGACTATATCAAAATCTCGACAACCATAATCCCGACTATATCGAAAATTTTACAATAACATTTATAAATTATGTCGGAGCGAAGTCACCTTGTGCTGCACTTTCATTATTAATAACAAAATTAATTTATTTGATTTTGTTGAAATATTCATAATAAGATTTAACATTAAATACAATTAGATTATTAATTGTTATTATTAATAACAATTTAAAAGTCACTACGCTCCGGAATAATTTAAACATTTTATTGTAGACATTTTCGATATAGTCGGGATTTTAATATAGTCCGGATTTTGATACAATCGGGATTATGGTTGTCGGGATTTTAATATAGTCGGGATTATGGTTGTCGGGATTTCGATATAGTCGGGATTTCGATACAGTCGGCATTTCGAACGTCGAGATTTTGATTGACGGTATTTCGGTTGTCGGGCTTGTGATTGCCACCGATTTTCAACTAGTGATGTTTCCCTCTTATGATATTGATTTATAAAAGAAGCATCTTCACTTTTTCATTAATATCTGGATAACCACGAAGAATAATTACATAATTCAACAAGCTGGAGACCGTTACTTTTTGAACGAGCACGCTGAAAAATTCTAACATCAATATTTCAAATTTGAAATATCCAGAAAATTATTGAAATTTTTAAACTTTTTTCAATGTTTTTAATCAAATATACACGTGTGTATGTTTGGTTGATTACACTTTGTGAGAAATTTTGTTAAAATTGTTAGGATAGAAATATAGGTATGGAATAATAATCTATGCCGATTGTTTATATTTATATAACATTTATTACACAATGGGGATGAGTCGAAAATGGAACGTTCGCACCAAACAGAATCACGAAGGGACGACAAAGTAGTATCAAAATATCTCCAATTATTAAAACTATCAACGTAATAAATGTACACAGGATACACGTAAATACATATTAAAATGAAGGGGATCAAACGGGTACACGTAGAATTCAGTCCGTTTCTAAACCAGTATGATCAAGTCAATAGCGTATCGTCCAGCTCCTCTTCCTTGCCCTCTGGCTGATGCAGGATCTTCTTCAGTACCTTACTGACCACATCGGACAGCGATTCCCTTGCTCCCAAATCCAAGATGTTCAGGCATTTCTACAAACGAAATTCGTCAATTCGTTGGATTGGAAAGATTTGGTCATTTTAAACATACCTGACTGACTTCATCGCCTTCCTTCAGCTTTAGGACCGCGATCAATGCCAGTTCGGAGTTAGCCTTTACATAACTGTTCTTCTCTTTGGTGCCGTTCACCAGCATCGGCAACAGCAACCTCAGCAGTTCTGGAGCCATTTTCTCCGATGGTATGTTCTTAGCCAGATGGATGCACACTCTAGCGAGCAATTGCTTCACTTCATTATTGCTGTTGTTCATAGTCTGAAAAAAAAATACATGTATTTTTCAAACACTTCTATACCGATTTTTTTCAATAATAGTATACCTTGACGAATGGACCGATAACGTTCAACGGCAGAGGGTGACCATTGGACATCAGGTATTGAAGCAGGTAACCGCAAGATCTGATACCGGTCATGGTGATTTGAACCTTATCGGCGGCCAAAAGGCTCAGCAACGTCTTCTCCACCTTGGGCTTAAATTTGTCATCCCAGATGATCTCCGGGCATTCCTTCAAGGTCACAGCAAGGGCCGCGCTACGGCCGTGACGCAAGGTCCATTCGGCGTTAATGTCATCACCTGTAAATTATTAAATCACATATATGTTTTATGATTTTCTTATGCAACATCAAACAGGAAAAGACTTACACAACAGATGTTCCGATAATGTCGCAGCCAACTGTTCCGGTGATAGGTATTTGCAAAGTGCTCCTAAACAACCGGAAGCGCACGCCCTGGTCACGTCCTCCTGATGACCCATCATTCCAACCAAAGTCTGATGAATCTGCTTCCTAATAACTTCCGTCATCTTATCACCGGCTGGTGAAATGATTCCACGCAGTGCATGCAACGTTGTTTCCCTAATGGAAACATCGTCGGTGTTTTTGATGGAATTATGCAACTCGGTGAAGAGCGGATCCGGACGTTGGTGGATGAGTATCAGATAGCTGAGAGCGTTGGCAGATTTCAGGCGCACCACCCGATTGGTATCGTTAAGAGCTTTCACGAATGTAGTTTGCAGCTGTGGCAAGAACTGCTTGAGCATGACTCCAACCTAAACACATTATTAGAAATTATAATCTCGTTTAAAGTTAGATGCAAGATTTCACCTTAGCTAAGAGTATAGCCAACGTTTCGAGGACTGCTGTTTTCACGTTGGGATTGAACCGGTCGCCCAATATCCTGATGAGCGGACCGGTTATAGCGACGACGCTCGATTGCAATGCAGGAGCGCTCGTCAACTTGATGACCTCCCCTAAGCCTTGAGCCGCAGCTTCCTTCTCGTCTCCATCCCCGTTGAGGATAGCTTCGCGGAATATCGGGAGAATAGGAGCGATGCCCTTGGGAAGGCAGAAGCCTGGCAGAAGATCACTCGAACCCTTAATATCGTAAACAGCATAGCGCACCGCCTGCCGCACGTCAGACACGTACGTCGACTGCTGCTTGGCATCCAGAGATTTGGTGATGGCGTTCAACGCCTCCCAGGTCATCTGCAGCACCTCCTTGTTGGTATCGATGCACAGATGAATCAAACCTCTATACAATTGAGGTACATGCGATATGTATTGAGCCCTGGAATTGGCGCAGAAGGCGCACAGCAAAGTCGCTGCGGCCCTCCTCTGATCCGCCGATTCGTGCTTGGTGCTTTCCAGGAGGGTGTCGATGACCGTGCGAATTCCAGCATCATCGACGACGGAGAGAATAACAGCTTGACAATACTCCAATTGCTGCGAATAATAAAACTTGAAATTGATTTTTGAAGCAAATTTTAAAACGAAACTCATACCTGAGTCTCATCTTGTGTTCCATTGGATGAGGCCAAAGCCGTTTGCAAGGCTGGCAAAATCTTCGGAAGGTATTTGTTCAGGGAATCTCCGGCGACGGAAGCCAGGATAGAGAGGGCTTTGGTGTTTGCAGGTGGTGCGGTCAATTGAGGCACCAAATACGGTAAAACTACACGCGATTTAATAGCCATCACTTGCCGGAGACCGTCCAAAGTCCATTCGGCCAACTCGGCGTCAGCGTTGTTCTGCAAAACAACAATAATAAGTACATCTTCGCATCACTTCGATATAATTATTTACCAATTGGTTAAGCATCGATGGTAAGATATCATCCAGCGCTTTGGTTCCCACAGTGGAATGGAGGCTGTCGAAAGTCTTCGCCGCAGCTTCTCGCACCTCCGGCAGCGGATCGCAAAGGGCCTTTCGCACTGTCGGCACCAGCGAATTGACGAACGTCAGTACCATTTCTCTGGATGTTGACGCCATGATCTCTGATAAACCAATGCAAACTCCTTGCCTCTGGTCCGCTCTCTCCGACTGCAAACCGCGCTCCAGGATCGGTATGATCTCGGGTAACACTCTTTCTCCTAGTTTTCGCACCAAATCACCCAAAGTTCTAGCGGCCACTTGCCTCTTGTCGTAACTGTCGCTCGCAAGACAACCCAAGAGGAGACCGAATAACGTCGGCAGGATCTCCCGGAGCGTCCTCGGCGTGTTTGTAACTACGACCTTCCATACGTGCAGTGCTGCTTGTCTCACCATCAGAGCGACATCGGAGCGACCCATGTACAGGCCAGCTAACACCCTGTTGCGCCTCTCATCGCCCAACGATGAAATGATGGCCAAATGGGATTGTTCTGTACCGAAGTTGTCGTCTTCGCTGGCCGTTTCTGTGCTCATTTTTCCGGTCACACCGGATATCCTGTACAGCAGATCTCCCAACAGTTGCACAGAACTGAAAAAGGAAATAAATGAATAAAAAAAAAGAATAAATGAAAAACAAACAAATTTTACCTGTAACGGATCCTCCAGTTATCATCGAATAAGCCACGTTCGAGCTCGGGAAGTAAAAGGAGGATGGCGGAATCTGCGTACAGCGTGACGATCCTCTGTCCGGCCTTAAGGGCCGTGTCACGCACGTACTCGTTCTCGTCGGCCAACGCCTTCAAGATAGGATTGATGATCTGACCTATGTAAGGTGTGAACTCGGACTGGAACACTACAGGCATGTAGATGAACATCATGATGTAGCCGTCCTTAACATGCGGTGCTATGTCGGTGCGCTCAGCAGTTGCGATGATTTCGGGCATCAGCTTATGAAGCTTCTCTACGCCGAGGCCGCCTACGACCTCGGACAGGCCTTGGGCAGCTCCTGATCTGTCGACGGAGCTGCTCTCGGAAGTGAGTGTCTGCATCAGCCATGGTAGCAGGTCTTCGAAACTGGACTCTCCCATGCCTCGGACCATCGCTCCTAAAGCTCTAGCGCTAACGCTCCTCACCTCCGGCACCGGATCTAACAGAGAGGTCTTAAGACCCGGAATAATGGTTGGTAGATATGGCATCAGATCTTTCTGATCTGTCAAGGAGTACATATTTCCAATGATCTGTGCGGCCATCTTACGTGTCTCAGTCGATCTGTCCATGAATGCTCTTTGGACCACAGGCATGATAAGAGCTAAAGATGGAGCATCGATGAAATGCACGAATTGCGTGTCCAACAGAGTTTGAAGACACGCAGACGTCTTGTGCGAAGGATCCTGCAAAGCCAGTAGCAACACAGGTACAATTGCTGAAAACAAACAAAGAAAACTATTAATATAACTGACTATATTAAGACACTTTCCATAACTACTTCAGTTTTTCAAATTTGACTAATTAAGTGATATTTTGGAAATAAGTATACCTTGAATTTCGGGATTTCGAATAACAGAGCCAATAACTCGGAGAGCTTCGGCTCCAGATTCTTGAACTTTCATGTGTGAATCACTAAGCACTTCTATCAATTTAGGAACAATACTCGGAAGACAAGAGGACAATTGTTTTGGGGCACAATAAGCCATAGCCCCTAAAAGCTCAACGGAACCTAGAAAGAAAAACACAATACTTTAGTATTAGGAAATGATTGTTGCTATTTGCATATCACATACCGGTCTTGGTTCTCCAGGAGTCGTCTTCGAGCGCAGCTAATAACGATGGTAAAACCAATTTCACACCGTGCCCGGAGAGTTTGCTCATGACAACTTTTGCGGTATCGTCGGTGGCGTTTCTCACGTACTGACTGGTATCGCCAAAGCACAGGAGCAGATGGGGCAGCACGTGCACTATGTAGGGCTCGAAGAGTTTTCCCAACATCTGGAAGAGCATTTCGAAAGCGAACAGTGCACCTTCACGATGCTTGTAGTTGTTTTTGTCCTGGATGGCCTCCGTCAATTTGGTCATGATGTCCAGCTGCTTGAGCGCTAAGATGCCCATGCCTTTAACCAGACCGGCAAGTCCATACGCAGCTCCCTTTCTATCACCGTACTTGTCGCCCTTAAGGAGCTGGTGAAGCACCTTGTTGATGTAACCGGGCGCCTCCTCCTTGACGCAGGGCACTAGATGTGGCAGACAATTGGCCACCGCTTCCTGCACCTGTTGAGAAGGCGTTGATAGGGCTTGTATGAGTCGCTGCACGATAGGCTTGATCCTGGCGTCGTCCTTTTCCAAATGCCTGGCAAGGGATCCCATCAGGATAACCACTGCCTGTTTGACGTGATCGTAAGAAGCGGATTTTGATGATCTGTCCATAAAGTTCTCGAAGACGGGCAGAAGCGTAGACACGGTGTCCTTGCCGTGCAGATCTACAACTTTAAGGCATGCGTTGAGCATCTCCTTGCGTACGTTCTCCTTTCTATCTGCCAATGATGTTGAGACGAAGAACTCTACCAAAGTGCCGATAACGTCGTAATCTAAAAGCGGAGCCAACTGAGTCAAGGCCAAAGCAACACCGCGACGCGGCGACCACGTGTCGATGGATTTCTCCACTTCCCTTCCGAATTCATCCACCTTGGGTGGAATCATTGTTAAGCGCTGCCTATACAACTTCATGAGCCTCTGAAGAAGCGGCGCTACGTAATGCTTGTTGTCCGTGATTAAGACGGCAAGAGCTTCAGCGGCGGACACCTGGATGCACTCTACTGGGTGTTCGATGTCACGGATCAATTCCTCGTTCAGATCCGCCGGGAAGGACAAGTTTGCATCCTCCCAAAGTTTATTAGCCAAATCCCTGATGGACAATCATCAATCAATAAATAATAGGAAATACAAAAATAAAATATCTCAAATTTACCTATTCGCTTCATCAACGTCAAACTTAGAAATCCAGATCCTCTTGCTGATAGTAACAGCTTCATCGTAATTAATTTCGTATGTTGGGATGGAACTCTTAATAATTGTCAAACCCCGTAAGGCAGAATCCCTTACCACGCTGGCAGGGCTCTGCAACGCACTCATTAGCACTGAAATCTCATCCAAAGTGGCCACGGAACACGTTGGAGCCCCGCTAGCTGAAGACGCCACGTCCAGAAGGGTGGCAACTGCTTGGCTTTGGATTCTACCAGATGTAGAACCTATAAGAAACAAAATTTATAATCATATCTAAACATAAAAATATAGCTAATTGATATCATGATGCAATATTAATGTCATCCAGTAATATAATAACTTGCTACATTTATAGAAATATGCTTACTGATCAAATCGATGAGCAACTCGAACATGTTCTTTCTAGGCAACAGCTTCGGATGGAAGACATCGTTGTCCTCGTCGGCAATCCTTCCGCGCATTTTAGCGTGCTCGGATATGATCTGCAGACCCACGTGAATAATATTTTCGTCCTTCTTGGCCTGCTTGGAAGTCAGACAAGCTTTAATCAACGGGAAAATATAAGCGAAAGCAGGAGCATCAAAGTGACTCCTCATCGCTTGATCGTGTTCATCGGCATCGTGCTTCTTAACAGTCTCTTTGTGGATGATCTCGATAGTCCTAATCATAGCCTTCGTTAGGTCTTCTTCCTCCCAACATGAAGATAAATCGCATTGCGGCTTCAGCAAACGCAATGTAACGTGTGCGATGACATCCGACAGGAGAAGACGCCGTCCTTCGAAGACAGTCTCCCTCAAGCTAACGAACAAATCTGTTAACTGAGGAGCCGCCAATGGAGATTTGCAATAAGTTAGAAGAACGGGAATCAAATCCTTGTAATGATAAGATAATTGTTGAGGATTTCCCTTAGCTACAGCGCGAATTGCCGACACTATCTTCTCCACTTTAGCATTCATCTACAACAAATTCAGTTAGAAAACAGTTAACAAAATTACAGAATTTATAACATACCTTTGTCAAATCCTCTCTAATAGCTTGCTCTTTCACCTTCTGATTCTTGATGGCTTCCAACTGCTTCGGCGTTAGCTGAGGCGCCTTCAGTTTACCCTCTCTTCTCTTCTTCTCCTCCAACTCTCTTCGGAGCTGTAACTCTTCCTGCTGCTCTTTGAAACTGTAAGCTTTGCTCTCACGCTTCATATTCAACTCATTGTTAGATTCGTCCCTGCAAACAATATAAAGAAATGTTTACAATTAAACATGCAAACGCATAAGACAATAATCGTACCCTGGAATAACACTTTTATCGTAAAGCTCCCCTTCCGGTGTCAGGTATGTGAAGTAATCGTCTTTGGTCACCTTCAGCAAGGCTTCGTCTTTAAGATCGGCTATAGCACTTTCAACCAGTCTCGGTATAAAAGCTGGGCCGTTAAATTGCGCAATCGTCGATAGAGCGTTCTCGTAACTCTAACAAAATACATAATTAATAACATTTACAAATACAAGACATGCAAATAATACTCACTTCTGAAACTGTATAATTGTCGTGTAAAATGGTCTGGAGTTGTTTATAATTTTTGATGGTAAACTCAGACGGATCGAGTTTCATAAACTTGACCACTTTCGACCAGAGCTCAGGCGCTATCTGCACCACCGATGGATGATGGGCTGGAAGCAAAGCTGCCAAAGCCAACATCTGGGCATCATCGACGCTCAGGTTACTGGCAGAACACAAAGTCGTGATGCATTCCATCACAATATGAGGCGACAACTCCACAATTTCACCTGCTTCGCTTTTAGTCTAAAATTAATAACACATACATCAAATACATGACAAGTCTAATTAATATTTAACTCTTTGCAAGTCTAGAAATTCCTAAATTTCTAGACAACAGAGACAGACAACTTCGTTAACTGAATCAACATAGGATGGACTATCAAAATTCATCCCTAGGCTTATACAAATGCGTGTCCCACTGCCCCTCAAATAGTTAAACAATGTAACTATTCGGTATTTCCAAAACAATTGTGTGTAAATCAATGTTAATTAGGAATATATTGAAAATATATTAAAATTCACTTACCGAAAATGAGGAGGATTCCAACATGACTGCAAATTCGTGCAGCAAATCGTGAGCGATCTGTGTTCCTCCTAAACCAGAAACTATCCTCTTCAGCATTGAAATACACCTCTTGCGAGTCTCGTAGTTCTTATAGCAGAGACACTTCAAAATTGCCTTGTGGAAGGGTTGCGTTTTCCCGCTGATCCTACTAGGATATTCGATAAGCATATGCTCACACAATTGCATCACCATAACCAAAGCTGAAATATTAAATTTAGAATTACATTTCTGAATAGTATTATTTTATAATTTCAACTTTAATTTAATATGAATCTAAGGACATAACTAGTTCAGTTGACTAATTTTATAAGAAATTTTTGTTACTCACATTCTTCGGAAGCACCGGCAAGGAATTTATCGGAGATGAATAGTTGCTTTTCAACGTCGCTAACGGCATTCCACAGCACCTGCAGATTGTTCTCCTTCTCTCCCTGCGACGCCAGAACCTTTAACACCATATTCGCAGCGTAAAGACCCTCCGTGACAGCAGCAGCCAGCAACGGCTGAGAAACAGCCTTCTCGATGGTCTTGAGGAGGATGGGTACAAGAGGTGCTGCTTGTCCGATCGAAGATTCTTGGAACGATGCCAGCATGCATTGGATATTCGTCGTCCTCACCAAAGGCGTAGAAGTCTTCGAGCTCATACCATTCTAAACAACCAGAATTATTACAGATTACTTCTACAAAAAAAAAAAAGAAAATTTGCAAAAGGGAGAGAGAGAAAAACAAAACTAAAGTTTCCACCTTGAAGCAATCCAGCAGTCTCTTGGGCAAAACCTTATCGAACTTGCACGTCCACAGCGAGAGCATCTCGAGGGCGTAGCAGAGGACTTTCTCGTGGACCTCGATCTCGAGAGCCTTGGCGAAGTGGTCTACAGCAGTCGAGGCAGCCTTCAGCGCGTTTTCCCCGAAGATTTTGTTGTAGCTGAAATTGCCGGCGCCCTCTAAAACACTCATCTTATGCTCGAGGACCGTTAACTTTCCATCGGAGCCATTGAACACTGCAAAGGTTTGCTTGAGCAGAGCTTCGACTGCTGCCAAATCGCAGATCTGCTTCGCCAACCTCCGACATGCGTCTGCAGACTCCCGCCTTGCCGTGTCGTCCTTAGAATGGAGATTAGCTATGAGGCTCTTCCCCAAATCCATGGCGTAAGGACTGAGGTCCAGATTGAGACCAGTGATAACCAAACCCACGCACTCCAAGATAACTTCAGGGCTACGTAGCATAGACTTCTGCAAAGCCGGCAGTAAAGATCCTTTGAACTGTTCGTGAGTTGTGATCTTCAGCAGCGGATAGCAGCCAATGATATGCGCCTTATCGGGCTTCACCTTAACGCTGACCATGCTCTTGATAAATGCATCCAAGAATCCTGGCTAAAAAATGAAAAGTGTTAATTGCAAATCCGTTAATCGAAACAATTGCAGATCAATTACAATGTATTCGACGAGAAGATCAGGTTTATCCTCCAGCAGTTTGCAGAGGAATGCTCCAAAAATAGGTACAAAACGGGTCGGTTCGAATGATTTTACTGTCTCCAAGTAGTATTTCTTGCATTCCGGTACAGCGATGAAAGTTTCTGTAACCTAATTAAAAGAAAACGAATAAATAACATAATTTCAAAACCATATGCATATACAAAGCAATAAGAATCATAATTAGAAGAGTTCTACATCGTGAATCATCTCCTATCGTATAGAAGATGAATATTGCAGTCTTCGACATATGATAAAACGGATGAAAAATTGAAATTACCGCCATTGAAGCTCTTCTGATTTTCTTTTGGACTCCGGATGCAAGGATTCCCGAAACCAGGTACATCTGGGCTTCGACCAAATCCTTGGTGTGAGAGTGCGTCGTGTCCGTCGTGTACATCTTTCCCATCAGATCGCAGGAAAGCTGCAGGGTGTAGAGGCAGGTCTGCGCCGTGTTCGCACTGCAAATCATTTGAAGTACACGATGAAGTAGATGAAGTACCACACGATCACGTATATCAGATGCATGTATGTTAACTGAAGGAAATAGTCCAACATCGAGACGACGCTCGAAAGAGTATAACCGAAGACGTACACATCCATAATACACTAGCAATCACATACAGACTAACATTCCTTCAACTGATAACTTGAGATATGATTAAAGAAATGTCAGCAGAATTAACTTTTGATACACATTTATTTATTGAAACAAAAACCAATTAACATTGTCATTACTTTAACATGTTTAACATGTCAAACTAATAGAAACAAAGTTAGGAAGCAAGACACTCTGTTAACACTACAATTGGAGATAACAATGATTAGATAAGCTTTTATCAATATTTGAAAAGCGGAAATGAACGTTAATGTGGAAAGCTGCATTTGCAATTGGTGTTCTAACATAATCCTGCAAGATCCTTGCAATATTAACAAACATAACGAGATAACATACATGTTAATATTTCATCTTTTTTTGTTGTTTGCTTATCTTATTTGATAATAAAGCAAAAGCGGATCTTGCCAAATGCATTTAATTAGATGAATTAATTATTAATTGTATTTTGTTATAAAATAGACACCTTGTAAAGAAGTTTAGATAGAAAAAATTAAATTTGTGTTTGTTTTCTATGATAACCATATGTAAGCATTCTCTTAACAAAATAACAAATGGTGATAGTTTATGCAGTGAAATTAAAAAGAAAATTAGGCATGTCAATGATTCCAATTGGATTTCTTACAGCAAAGTTCAATTTAAAGTAGGGAATGATAAACTAATGGGAATCTAATAAGAATATTAAATAAAAAATGTTAATGTTAAAAGAAAATAACAAACGATGATAGTTTATACAGTAAAATTAGTAAATCCATCTTAATTAGCAGCAAAGATTTGAATTGGATTTGTTATAGTAAAGTTCAATTGAAAGTAGGAAATGATAATCTCATTGGAATCTAATAAGAATGAAAATAACTTACGTAGCAACCAGATTCTTGTGCTGCATGCCTACATCCAATATAACTTGTGTAAGATTGTTTAAGGTCCATTGTGGATGATGTTTCACCAGTTCTGAGCACAGATTCCTTATGCTTCGATGCGATGGATTATCTCTGTACCTGGGCAGCACACTCTGTACAATCTTGCAAACACCTTTGACCACATTTTCAGTGATACCTAAAACAACAAGCAGACAGTTGAAAACAGTCCCACCTTCGACGTATTATACAAGAACTGCAATGAAAAAAAAAAACCCTTACCAGGATTCTGGAGCACAGCTATGACATTCTGTATAACCTCTTTGCGTTCCTTCAGACTGGACGTTTGGAGTCTGTAGGGCAGATCCTTAAGTGCGCGGGATAACTGAAAAACGGAAATCCGGTGAGAAAAAGGTAGGAAATCGGGAGATAATCGCCGGGAAAATCCAATACACGTGACAAATAATTACCTCTGAATCTGCCATTTTTCAAGTGAGCTTCATACGGGGCTAAAAAAACTTTGACAGTTTGTCAAGTTGACGTGAGCTGATCACTAATTTTCAGGATATTCCCCTTTATCCAATTGCAGCAATTGAAGAATTACAAATCGCAGCGAAATTAAAACTGCAATTAAGTCATGCGAAATTGTTACGTGGATAATTTCTTAGAGATTTTTCTAATTAATTGGATAATTAATTCCCCTGATTTGAAAAAACTGTTGGTAACGCGTTGTTACCGCATTTACATTAAATAACGTTTCATAACATTACGAAATTCACCTAAAACCTATAAATTTCCATTCGTAACACACGAATAACCATTATTCTTTTGTATAATCATATAATTCATGATATTTTATAGAAATTTTCAGAGTCCAATTGAAAGAATTCCCCAATTGATAACGCTCTAGTTTGGCTGCACTGATGCGACATGCTTATTCCTTGTTTACTAATTTACTTTAAAGTTTAACCTCAAATGAATCTTTTATAGTCAATGAGAAATTTAAATTTACTTTCGGCATGTCGTTTTTAATTAAAACCGGTCTTCAGAGACTCGTCTCGCCGCAATTCAACAAACTGCAGGTTTCTAATTATGCCAGATGGGCCGGACGCAGACCCTTAAGGGTTTTGGATTCAGAAGAACATCCAGAATTCCAACCAAGAAATGCAAGTACTTTCAGTTTTATCCCATAATTTAAACTTTATTTGAAATGAGCCTATTACAATTATAATTTACTAATAGTTAGAAACTATTTCAATTGTTATATAAGTAGTTCTAATTTCAATAATTTAAAAATTCGGTATATGTAAAGGTGCGTACATTATACGCGATACTTGACAAGTACTTGTACAAGACAAGTACAAGCTACTTGGCAAGTATCGCATTATATAAAAGTTACGTAATAATTTTATAATTTATTGAACAAATGACATAGTCTACCTACTTTTGTGGAAATACAAAGTATCAGAGTAAATGTTTAAAAACTCTTGTTGTTGGTACTTAAAAGCAAAGATCTAATTAGAAACATTTACTTTTTAGAAGCAAGATGAAATAAGAGATGGAGCAAGGATGAATTTTAGAAAGGAGGTGACTACAGTAGATATGGATGAGCTGGAGCATCATGAAATGAAGAGTCAGAAAAAGAAGTACGCGAAACCTAAAAAAGAAGTACCTTCCATGGATATGTTGGAAACTATAATAGATGCGAGCGGTAAAGTCGTGTATACGAAGATGGCTAATAACGATCCGCGCGTCGGTACGTTATTAACAACGTTAAAGTCGAAGAAGGAGAAGGCGAAGCAGGATCTTATCCTGCTGGAGGGGAAAAGGTTGATTAGAGAAGCCCTCGAGACTGGAAGCAAATTAAAGTACCTGATCTTCACGCGACCGGAGGAACTGGATTACCTGAAGAAACATCTACCAAATAGCGGCGCCCAAATCTACAAAATGCCGTACAGAGAAATGCAGATGTGGTCCACCCTGACCACGTCTCCTGGTATTATGGGTAGGTTAACCAGAAGTCGATCAAAAAAAAATAAATAGTTAAATTCAAGGATTCTAGGAGTGTTCAAGACGCCGGAAGTGGACAAGTTCGAAGCGAAGAACACGATACCTTTGACTGTGATCTGCGATAACGTTCGTGAGCCTGGTAATTTAGGAGCGATTCTCAGGACTTCAGCTGCCTTAGGCTGTAAACGAGTCTTCTTAACGAAAGGTAATTTAACTGTCTTTAACTAATTGATTTTAACGTTAACTAATTGCAGGATGCGTTAATTTATGGGATTCTAAGGTTACACGCACGGCGGCTGGTAGTCACTTCCGGTTGCAGATACACAGCAAACAAGATTTCCAACAAATCAGCGGAAAATTGAGCGATGCGACAGTCAAGGTCTTCATAGCCGATAACAATGTGGTAACGGGTGATGGTCACGAGGATTTGATGAATTTAGTGAAAGGAATACCTATAGTTCCGTACTACAGTTCGAACTTTTCGCAAACCAATGAGAACGTGCTGATCGTGGGCGGAGAAACTGAAGGTATCAGCCAAGGGGCGTACTCTTTGGCCGCAAAGACCAATGGGATTCGTTTGAACATCCCGTTAGAGAACGGCGTGGAGAGTTTGAACACAGGCACCGCCTTCGGCATCATCAGTTTCGAGATCAAGCGGCAATTCAATACCACCACACAAAAAGCGGACATCGGAAAAGAGTTGGACGTTAGTTTGGGTCTGAGATATTTGTAAATAAGATATAAAAAATAATAAGTATTATTCAAGTTTGAATTTTTTTTTCTTTTACACTTTTTTTTCAAATAAATACTTGCTGAAATTTCGCAAATACAAGATGCTTGGGTTGGGGGTGGATTTGAAATTAACATTAATTTTGTACATAAAAAATAGACTAATATAAGAAACAAACGACGAGGGGGAGAAATAATAATCGTATAAACATTCTCACTTAATTATTTTGACAAAAAAAAATATGAAAAAAAAAAATAATAAGAGACGAATACTAGTTTTACTCGAGACCGTACAATTTCAATGTGCGATCCATTGATGTCGAAGCCAAGTAATGAGCATGCTTTCCGAACCTGACGCCGGTTGCCGCGGCTGTGTGATCGTTGAATACCTTCAATTCCTGCCATTGCTTGCATAAATATACTCTGCAAAGAATAAAAACATTAGTAACAAAAATATAATAAGATTTGAAGGTGTGTATGAGTTTACCTGATGTCTGTTCCGGCTACAGCCAAGTAAGTGCCGCTTTGATCGAAGCACAGATCCTTGATCTGGTAACCTTCGTCCAATTGTAGAGTCTTGAAATTCTTCAGTTTACGCAAATCCCATAACTTGACGCATGCATCATCCGCGGCCGTCGCTAGGTAATAACCGTTCTCGGAGAACGAGATTGATGTTATGGCACCGGAATGACCTAAATAATAAATTATTAATAGTTTGCGATATTGGAAATACATTTGTACAAATATTGAATAATGTTACCTGTGAAATTAGCAACGTTGCTTTGTTCTTTGAGATCCCAGATTTTCACCTGTGAATCTGCGGTGCCGGTGCCGAAGATGAGACCGTCAGGATGGAATTGTGCCGTCGTCAATGCAACATTAGATTGATCTGCAACTTTGGTTAGCAGACGACCTGTGCGGATATCAGAGAAGGCCCAATGCTGATCCTCGGATGTGGACAGGATGTAGTCTCCGGTGGGATGAAGTGATAGACCTGTTACAGCGTTTTCGTGCGAACGTAGAAGAAGTGTTGTCTGCGAGGTGGGCACATTCCAAATGCGAATCGTCGAGTCCGGAGACGCAGTGATTACGATATCCTCGTCAGGATGATATATAACTTTCGTGACCTTCTTCGTGTGTCCCTTCAAAATGCAAACCACCTGTTCCGTATCCTTGTTAAAGACTGTCGCATTCCTGTCATTGCCTCCCGTTAAAATCTTACTGGTGTCTGACGGGTTTATATCTAACGCTAATATACCAGGTACACTGGCAGAATGTAAACTCTGAAATGAATAATACATTAGTTTAAAGAAATATTGAATGCGAGATGTTTCATTACGGGATGAGACGCCAGTGTCCTGAACGAACGCAAAACCTCTTGAGTGACAAGATCTTCCGGTACTGTCCTTCCGCGCCTTTTGCGCTCTTGTGTAAGAATCGTAGCTTTGTCTTGAAGTTTCTGAATGACCTCCGGACTCATACCCGCTTGTTCTGTCGGTTGATTTGCTACACCGCCTGCTTCCACTGCAACAGCCTAAAACAAACATTGAGAAAAGAAATTAAAATCCATACAAATTATTAATAATTTCAAAACTTACAGGTTGTGGGACATTTGTAATGCCTGCCTGTGGTTTCAATGTGGCCAAAGCTTCCCTGGCTGCAGTAACTTCCTTGTTCAATCTGGCGATGACTCTGCATGCAGCATCATGTTGATACAGAGCATGGCTGAGTTCTTGTCTGGCCGTCTGCAGTTGTTGTCTTTGTGTGAAACTGTACAGCATAACAGCATCCCACTCGTCCTGAAGCAGCTTCAAAGTAGCTGGTATACTGGTTGCACTTGGAGGTTTTGGTTTAACAATCGGTGGTGTCTTAATGTCAATAAGTTCTTCCGGGGTCAACTCTTTTCCACTTATTGGATCTATGCCATTCTCTAGGATGTATTTTTCAATGATCCTCTTCTCGAATATCGCCCCAGAGGATGGGGACACCACCGGATGCTCGGGAACTTCGTTGGAAACTGAAATACAGATATGGCATCAAAAATTGTTTGTCAACATGTAGCATTGGAGAGGTTAGGTGCAAACAGTTACGTCGCCGGTGCCACTATCTAAGAGCTAAGGACACGAAACTTCGATGCTTATGCATAAGGTACACATATTATTTCACTCATAACATAAATTTATTTGATAATTTCATAGAGAAGAACAGAAAAATTCAACTTACTCGCACAACACAACGCCATTTTGTAATTAACAATGCCTAAACTAAACTGTTTCCCACAATCACACAAATTACCAACTTCTTAAGAACACGCAGATCACCAACTTCAAGAAACTAAAAATGTTTTATTATTGTCCTACATTTACTCAAATTTTATTTATATATCTTATTATGAGCACATATAGAGTATTCATAATTACATAAATCATTTGATAGAATCATATTCAATAATAATTATTATATAAGTAATGCCAACGTTTTTCAAGTTTAATTTTACCAAATCTATGTAAATTGTTATACTTTTGTCCTTTTTACTGACAATTATGCAATGTTTTGGATAAATACTTATGATTTGACTTGAAAATTTAAAATTTAAGAGTAAAGGATGGGTGATTATTAGATAGAGATGAAGAACATACAGACGAGATGAAAGTGAAATTGTCCTTGTCTTATATTTGAATCTGGGTATGAATTGAAAGATGTGAGCGAATCGAGAATGCATTTGTTACATCACTAAAGTTGTAGCTCGGTTGCCAGATGGAATAAACGAATTTAAAAAACTAAACAAAATAAAGATAATTTTAGGAAATTCTAGTTGAATCGTTTTGTTCTAAAAACCATTAATTCTCTGTGGTGCTTTAAAATCTGTTCTATATATCTGTATGATGTTTCATTCAGTGTTTTTTGTTTTGTAGATTTTGCTAAGTGCATGGGAGGAGCTGGCAACAGGATTCGATAATTTGTGTATGTTGTAAGATCGTCCCAATATTGACAAATAGTATAAAGAAAAGTGAAATTACATAAATAATATGAATTGGCAAATTTCTGTGATCAGCAAATAACCAAAAAATAATGAATGTTCTTCAATATACTAATCCTAGTTCTAATAAAGATCATGGATTTGATGAAATCAATTATGAAGGGTAAGGAAGAAAGGAAGAAGCTGTACAAATTCAAAGTGTTCAAGTATGAGGAACTGGAGCCGGATGAGGACATGACCAAATGGCCATTCCCACGGTCAGGACACAGGGTTGTTGCAGACACATGTCATCTGTATTCGTTCGGAGGTTACAACCCAAAGATTCAGGGAAATCAGAGCGTGGAGGAGTTCTCTGTCAGCACATTTCCACTGTTCCAGGAACTATGGAAATTCAATATTGCAAAGAAGGAGTGGGTGCCATTCGAAAAGTCAAGGAGTTTTCCAAAAGAGCTTGCCTCAAATGCTATCATCAGACATGGGGATTATTTACTGGTATTACAAAAAAAAAAAAACAGATTGTTGAATAATTGTGAAACTAATTTCATTTTATTTTAGGTTTATGGTGGCACAGGCACTCCTTTTGGCCAGAGGTGCAGCAATCAATTGTATATAATATCATTGAATGATATAAAAAGTAAGATGTGTGAGATCCTGACCACTGGTCAAGTGCCACTACCTCAGTATGGACAGGCTCTGGTCTGCAATGATAATTACTTGTATACCATTGGTGGAACAAATGGGTTTACTTATACTTGTGATGTACATAGGTAGTGATGTCCAAGATTCATTGTTTAATCCAATTATATAATTTGATGGCATTTCAGGTTAGATATGAAGACAAATGTTTGGGAGAACGTTTATATATGCCAAGGAAGGAATGATTCTGAACCTTTGGGTAGATACAGGCATGAGGTGGCCTTCAATGGAAGGTACATCTTTATTTTGGGAGGTGGAACAGCTGAAATGGCATTCGATTTTAAAAGAGTGCCAGCCTTTGATATCAAGCAGAAAACATGGGATATAGTCAAGTCAAAACCTGATCCCAAATGTAAGTACTTTATTATAGGGCACAAGATTTAAATTAAATGCTAAATCTTTAAACCATTTGATTGAACAATGAGTTTTGTTAATAACTTTAATGTTCAATATTTAGTTTTTAATGTACGTTCGTATGAATGTCTTGTACGTTCGTATGAATGTCTTGTACGTTCTTATGAATGTCTTGTACGTTCGTAAGTACTATATTATAGGGCACAAGATTTAAATTAAATGCTAAATCTTTAAACCATTTAATTGAACAAAGAGTTTTGTTAATAACTTTAATGTTAAATATTCAATCAGTTTTTAATATATGTTCGTATGAATGTATTGTACGTTCGTATGAATGTCTTGTACGTTCGTATGAATGTCTTGTACGTATGAATGAATGTCTTGTACGTTCGTATGAATGTCTTGTACGTATGTATGAATGTCTTGTACGTTCGTATGAATGTCTTGTACGTTCATATGAATGTTTTGTACGTTCGTATGAATGTCTTGTACGTTGGTATGAATGTCTTGTACGCTCGTATGAATGTCTTGTACGTTTGTATGAATGTCTTGTACGTTCGTATGAATGTCTTGTACGTTCGAGTGAATAAGTGATATCTAAGTATGAAAAATGCATGCATTTATGTGGGAATTTATCATCCGATTAACGTTTGTGTACGCATTGGCTTTCCTATTTCAAGTTTCTGTTAATAATTCAGTTTCTATGGTAATTTTGTTGCTTAGCAAAGTAAATATAAGTAGATATAAGTAAATTAGGTTACAAAGTTTATAGGTGGTACTAAACCAAAGTAATTTATCAGTTTTAGATGTAGGAGGCGGCATACCTGCGCCGAGGAGATGCCACGGATTAGTGCAATTGAAGATCGACGGCAGTTTGAACGTGTTCATAAGCGGCGGTTATGACGGGGAAGACGTCTTCTACGACCTTTGGCGACTGAACCTGGACACCTTTCAGTGGTCCCTGATACCATCGTGCGTCCTACCCTATCCCACGTACTTCCACTCCTCGGCCGTCACTCCAGAAGGAAAACTGTACAACTTCGGTGGGATCTACATCAACGGTGACCTGAAACGACACAATCTGGTGCATTCGACATGGCTGTGCATACCAAAACTGAGCGAGATGTGCTGGGAGGCACTACTCTTCTACAAACCCGATATCGCAGATTGCGATCGGCTCACATTGCTCAATCAGGGATATCCCAGGAGCTTCCTGAAGCGCTTGGATTGATTGAAAAGAAGTAGTTCAAATACATCTTATTTCATTACTTTCATTTAATTCTTCTATACACACGGAAATTATTATATGTTTTTTTTTCCCTATTTAATACATTAAATTAATTCTTCTATACACTAAATCATTCGCATTTTATATATATACACACATACGTATACAATTCTTTTTACGTTTCAACTCTTTATCAGCTTAATTGTGCGATCGTTACGGAATTCATTTGTACTCGATTCGTATTTTGCAGACGCCGATGTGCATGTACATATTTTTTCTTCTTGTTTGTTATTCCGAACCTTTTAAATGTGTCCACTTAAGCTATTATCATTATTATTACAAAGAATTGCAAACTTTACATAAATACATTTAATCGAGAGACAAACGTATCGTTGTTTTATTTAACTTCGCTCATCATTTGCGTCTATTTATAACACTTACCTATATTCATTTCCTACGTTTTATAGACAAGCCAAGCATTGTGTGAATCTTCAGGAAAATGAAAGTAGGTCAAATGAATTGCACAACAATAGAATAGACACTTTACTTTTGAACTACATTTCAATTGAACTGTGATAATGATGAATCAATAAAATATATTACATTATTAAAGATATTTATGTTATTTTCAAATTTAACAATTGATTGCAGAAGAACGGTAAAGACTACAACTATGGTAGTAGGCTCATTTGAAAGGCCAAAGTATTGTCTTTAATTTACATATTCGATGATGTAATTAGCGTTATGCCGTTATGGAGTAATTAGATGAAAATGAAGAGGTTGCATTGCACAACAATAGAATAGACACTTTACTTTTGAACTACATTTCAATTGAACTGTGATAATGATGAATCAATAAAATATATTACATAATTAAAGATATTTACGTTATTTTCAAATTTAACAATTGATTGCAGAAGAACTCATTGGAAAGGCCAAAGTTTTGTCTTTAATTTACATATTCGATGATGTAATTAGCGTGTGCCGTTATGGAGTAATTAGATGAAAATGAAGAGGTTGCATTTTCCAATACGTATTTTATTGCTCTACTTTAAAAGCTGATTGGAGTAAAACGATGATCATCTCAAAGCTGGCAATAGATCTGTTGGAAAGGCAATAGTATTATCTTTAATTTATATATTCGATTATGTAATGATAATCTGTTTTTACCGAATAATTATATAAAACGAGTAGTTTAACAAATGAACGAAAAATCGCCATATTTCAGAAACAAAATAACGTTACGTAATGATATAACAAAATTATTCATAATAAAACATCCTTGCTTATGCAATCAAAAATATCATTTTTTTATTTGACTAAATATGAAAAATTATAAAATTAATGTTTTCAAACAAACGCTAATTGAAAAAAAAAACACACGAAACATGCAAATAATGTTATGCAACTGGATTTCGTGTGCGCATGTAATTATTACAAAAAAAAATATATTTGTTTTTCTTGCAAAAATTATTATAACTTTATGTAATTGATACAAACGTATTCATTTTACAATGATAACTGTAATTTAATGCTTACAAAAAAAATTGAACATGTAATGTATGATTTCATATCATTCTTATTTATCAATTCATAAATATTTCATTTATATGAAATTGGTTTTAAAACATTCTTTAAAAGTCGTGGAAATATAACATTTACGCAAACGTTATTTTTAACGATAATTATTTAACATATTTCATGTTTAAACACAGATAAAATTTGATAATTTATAAATTCATGATTTTAATTAAAACTGTTATTAGTCTGAAATTTAATTTAATTTTGTAATTAAACTTATTTTAAAATTCGAAAATTTTCAATTGAATTGTTGAATTTTATTTCAAATTATACCTACTAATTAATTATAAACTAAATTTTTCTCTTTTCGTTTTCCTAAAAAAAATAAGTTAATTTATTTGTTTTCTCTTATTTGTGATGCAAAATTTATCACTGTTTTTTTGTGTCTTATTAGAAAAATGTTATACAATTAATCCAAATATATTCAGAATGATTGAACTTCATCCGTTCTTGGATTAAATCAAGGTTTTCTTGCTAAAGCGCTAAATTCACTATATTTGAATAACATAATTAAGCCTGTTGATTACTCATAGTTCAAAGTAGAATGAGCGTTATTAGAAAGGATATGTGCGTATGAACATTGTTTATATTATACATTGTTACGTGTTCGTTATTTGTTACAAATTCATTATTATTTTCAACAAATAAGCAAAAAAATGCGTAAATACGGATTTATTCAGCTGTTTATTATATATTTGTTACATAGCCAATAAATATAAGAAAAACAATTGAATTATATCAAAATATTAGTTTGAGTTTTAATTATTTTCTATAAAAGTAAACTAAAATTTATTGTGTTTTTTTTTTGTATATTCATAAAAATTAACGTGATTTTCATATTTTGTCAACGAATTGAAATTTACTCATTAAATATTAATGTCAAACACAATTTTAACAAGTTCAAGTACGTTAGTTGTTTCAAATTTGAGATACATATGTATGGCGATTTTAGAATATTTTAAGTTTGACATTGAACAATTTGTTATTAAACAGTTTATATGACATTGTATAATTTGTACAACATTAAACAATTTCTCTGACATTAAACAGTTTGTTTAACATTCAACAATGTGTTTGACATTAAACAGTTTGTTTAACATTGAATAATTTGTTTGACATTGAACAATTTATTTGGCAGTTTGTTTGACATTCAACAATGTGTTT